AACAACAACAGCAGCAAGAATAGTATATGCCAAGTATTGGAGAAAAAATGAAATCCCCTCAAAGAAACTATAATTAAAAAAATGGAAACAGCAGAGATGGACAAATTAACCTCAATTCTGAGAGAACATAACAAAGAAGACTTTGAAGATGCATGGTCAAAATTTTATAAATGGATAGAAGAGTACAAGATACAAAAATTCTCGGACATCAAACTGAAATGAAAGGAAATAAAAATTATATTTTTAACTATATGTAAAAGGTATATGGGAGCTGCGGTGGCTCAAGTGGTTAAGACACTGAACTCCAGGCTGTGGAAGGTCGGTAGTTCAGCAGTTCGAGACCCGGGTGCCGCATGATAGAGTGAGCTCCCATCTCTAGTTCCAGCTCCTGCCAACCTAGCAGTTCGAAAGCGAGACATTGCAAGTAGATAAATGGGGACTACTTCGGTGGGAAGGTAACAGCGTTCCGTGCACCTTGGTGTTTAGTCATGCCGGCCACATGACCACGGAAACGTCTTCAGACAGCGCTGGCTCTTTGGCTTTGAAACGGAGATGAGCACCGCAACCCTGGAGTCGGATTTGACTGGCTTTCGAGCAAGGGAACCTTTACCTTTCTTAAAAGGTATATGAGTAATCCATAAGGTGAAAATAATAGTGGATATACTTAGATACTGTATGAGTACATTAACTAGATCAAAATGATGTAAAGAAACTTCCTCATGTGTGTATTTATGTATGTTTGTCTTTGTATGTCTGATATAGAAAATAAAAATGTTATTTAAAAAAAACATTTAGAACCTTCAAAATGTATCCTAGACCAGTACAAGGAAAATAGTGTATAAGATGGCAAAAACTAATAAACGTGCACTAGGTCAGCATAGCCCAGACCTGGATAACCCAGGGTAGCCTGATCTCATCAGATCTCGGAAGCTAAGCAAGGTCGGCCCCGGTCAGTATTTGGATGGGAGACCGTGACGGAAGTCGAGTGTCACAACACAGAGGCAGGCAATGGCAAACCACCTCTGAACATCTCTTGCCTTGAAAAGCCTACGGCGTCGCATAGGGTACAGTTGTGCTCCCTCTAATATCGAATATATTTGCAATTCTGCTTGTAGAAAACGAAGGCCCTTTGAAGCTGTAGACAGTACTGACCTGGAGGGACCAGTGGTCTTCTGCTTGGCATGCAGAACGTCCCAGGTTCAATCCCTGGCACCTCCAGTTGAAGGGACCAGGCAGGAGGTGATGGGAAAGACCTCAGCATGAAACCCGGGAGAAGAGCGGCTGCCAGTCTAAGTAGACAATCCTGACACTGATGGATGAATGGTTCTGATCGAGGGAGGGGCTGTGGCTCAGTGGCAGAGCATCTGCTTGGCATGCAAAAGTTCCTGGGTTCAATCTCCGGGATCTCCAGTTGAAGGGACCAGGCAGGAGGTGATGGGAAAAGACCTCAGCCTGAGACCCTGGAGAAGAG